ACATAGTTAGACCATCTCAAAAGAAAATCATTAGTAAGCCGGGTGTGGTGGCACACGCCTGTAATCCCAGCACTCAGAAGGCTTTGGCAGGAGGATCACTGTGAGTTCAAAACCAGCCTGGGCTACATAGTGAATTCCAGGTCAGTCTCAACTACATAGTGAGACCCTGTCTCAACCACCCCCCCAAAAAAAGGAAAAAAAATCATTAGTAATCTTTAAATATATACTACATATTGAACTACACTTTGGATATACTACTAGATTAAATAAAAACATTAAAACTGATTTCACCTTTTTTTTTGTTTGTTTTTGCAGGTCTAGGGATCAACCTCAGAACCTTGTGCTCACCAGGCAGGCTCTGCACCACTGAGATATATGAGTCTCAAACTCATAATCCTTCTGCCTCAGCCTTTTAATTGACTACTAGAAAATTTAAAATATATATGGCTTATGATTTTTTGGCTTTATTTTTGCAGAACTGGGGATTGAACCCAACCAAGGCCTTACACACTCTAAGCAAGTATTACCACTGAGCTATATCCCCAACCCTTTGCAAGTTTTTAACAGATAGTTTGTCAAGATCATTAGCCACAGTAGAAGCAAACTGGGCCTGGGATTTAGCTTAGTGGTGCTGCTGCCTGCCTCACAAGCACAAGGTCCCAAGTTTGATCCCTGGTACCAAACAATAAAACCAAAAAACAAACAAAAAACCAAAACAAAAAATATATCCAAGATAGAAGCAGAAGCTGGGCATAGTGGTACATGCCTGTAATCCCAGGACTTGGGAGGCTGAGGCAGGAGGATTACTGTGAGTTCCAGACCAGCCTGGTCTACATAGTGAGTTCCAGGTCAGTCAACTTCATAGTGAGACCCCTGTCTCGAAAAAAACAAAACATAAAATCAAAATAGAAGCAGACACATCATTCAACACATCTTAGTACAGTAAATCCTCAACTTATAAATGAGTTCCATTCTGGAATAATGGGAGGTCAGATTTCTTCATAACTGAACAAAGTGAATCTTATACAACATACCTGTGAAAGTTCCCAACTCAAATATTTGTATCAGGGACTTAATGTACTGTGTCACATGCTGAAATAATAAAGTAATGATAGAAAATCCAAGTATGGATTCATACTTTGGAGGCAGGTATACCTTCTGTGTCATCAAATTATCACTGCTCATCTGGCAGCTCAAAAACACAAAGACTGTACAACTTCAAAACAGCCCAATTGCCCATCTGCTGGAGACTAACTAGATAAAGAAGATGTGGATTTTTATAAAATGGAGTACTACTCAGCCATCAAAAATGAGAAGCTAGAGACATTTATAGCTAAGTGGATGCACATTGCAATCATAATTAAGTGAAATAAATAGGACTCTGGTGTGAAAAACTGTAAGGATCAAAATGTATAATGGATACTGTGAAATAGGAAGAAAAAGTCTACAGAAGTGGGGGAAGTGGGAGGGTCAGGGGAAAGGAAAGGGGAAAAGAAAAAACTTGGAAACAGTCTTTGTAAATAGGGAAGAGTGGAGGGGGTGAAGGGAGGGCAGGGGAATGGGGAAAAATAAGAACCAAGATATGTCGTGTAAAGATACAAGATCCCAGTGGTGAATGTAACTATTGTATATAAAATGTACCAATAAACTTAATTTAAAATAAAAAGCAAAGACTGTTTCAAAGGCAACAGGACTAAATCTGAGGCACATACAGCCACTGCTCAGTAAGTACAGTAGGCATCCACACTAAAACCTGGATCTCTTTTCCTTTTTCTTCTTCCACCTGTAATCACTGTGAAATTCTGAATTCTATTCTTTTTCCATATTAATCAGTCTTAGTCATCTTGCTTTTGAAGATATAGCTTCCAAGTAGTCTCCCAGCTTCTTATCATTCTATACTATATACTACCATTAGATTAATACCTGGTACTCCTTTGCAAATGTAATTCTTTGCTTAAAAAACCTTCTATTTGCTTATAAGTTGTTTACAGGAAGAATTCTTGTTTGTTTTTTTGAGACAGGGTCTCACTATGTAGTTGAGACTGACCTGGAACTATGTAGCCTAGGCTGGTCTTGAACTCACAGTGATCCTCCTGCCTCAGCCTCCCAAGTGCTGTGGTTACAGGTGTGCACCACCATGCCCAGCAGGAAGAATTCTTTAGAACTAAAGGTTTTTTAAAAATCTTATTTCTTGGTATTCTCTTCTATAAAACTTAAGCTTTAGTGAAATTAAATCAAATTAGTGTGTGTGTGTGTGTATGTATATATATATAT